TATTAGCTCAGCGCTACACATTCTCCTCTCGTCACTGAGGTCCTTCATCCACATGACAGAGAGGGGAACACAAAAATGACTCCGCCTGTAACTGAAAATATGGATGGAGGACAACAGAGCTGCTTCATGGAAGAAGAACCTCAGCTCAGCTTAGCCTGTTAGCTTTTGCGCTAGTGCCGACGCTATATTGCCTTATATGTATTAGCTCGGTGCTAGCGCGACAAACAAGCTAAACTGAGGTCCTCCATCCATATTTTCAGTTACAGCCGGAGTCATTTTTGTGTTCCCCTCTCTGTCATGTGGATGGAGGACCTCAGTGACGAGAGGAGAATGTGTAGCGCTGAGCTAATATTTGGGGCTAATCAAATCAGCTCTCTACAAGCTTGAGAAATGAGCTTTCTTTGGCCTCTGGTTCTTGTGGTGGAAATGAAGGAAGTCAGAAGGACCATCTAAAAGTTTCACGTTCCTTAGAAAAGTATCTGCACTTCAGGTTCCTGTAGTGGTTGTTATCAGTTGAAACACACAAGAAGGTTGTTGTCAGTGAACAGTCTGTCTTTTTTTTTTGCAGTAATATTGACTCTTAGTTTACTTTTTTGTTGTTTTTAACAAAACAAGGCTGTGCTGTAATCATTATGTAACATCCTGCTGAAGGTTGACTGTGCAACCACTGTATCATGTTAATGTTTAAATAAATTTTTTAATGTGCTTTGTGCAAGTTACAAGAAGATGGATGTAAATAGTCTTGAAATGAACTAAAATGCAAATGAAGAAAAAAGAAATAACATAACCTGATGTAGTTTGTTTAATGGAGAAAAGGACACTGGAGGAAATATAAACCATAATAGAAAAGTTATTTTTCTTGTATTTTTAATATGCTTAAAGCACTACCTTCTCTTGTCTCATCATGTCTCACCTACTGTTTGTCTTTGACTTAGATTATGTTATAGCTTATTAATGTTATAAGTTCTGACATGAACCCTTTTGTGTTGAGGTTATTTTGGGGTCTCTTCAATTTTGAATGAATTGAAATAATTTATTTTGCTGATTTGAATTTTTTTTTAATGGCAAACATCGACAAATTGGGTCGTTTGGCTAATCAGTCTGTCTCTGAAGCATTTCTTCAAGGAAAGCTAGTTTTTAGTCATTAATGCACCGATTGTGATAAGTTGGGATGTCCTTGGAGATTCGATGTTTTGCTTTATTACATTTCAGTTTTAATAATGTAAGGAATAATTGTAATTTTAATAGTCTTGTATTGATGTAGAACACACGACTTTCAGATTCAGATCTTGCATTGAGAACTACAATTTAAAGTGGTTTGACTGTTTGTTTCAGAAACCTTTTGCAATGAACATAAATGTCCTCTCGCCCCCAGGTTGGCGATCTTGTTAAAGTGACACGGATGAACATCAGCGGTCAGTGGGAGGGCGAGGTAAACGGGCGAAGGGGGCTCTTCCCTTTCACCCACGTCAAAATCATAGACCCCCAAAATCCCGACGAGAGTGACTGACGCAGGAATCCAGCTGGAGCCTCTCCCCGGTATTGATGTATACCTGAGTCTGCTGGCTGTGTCCACATCTCCTCCCCCCTCGCCAGTGTCGCAGTTCTGCGCTTGCCTGCTTGTGGGGTTGTACCACGAGAGCGACCCCCCCCCCTCTGTTGTCGTTGCCAGCCGCTGCAAGGCTTTCTGACTGTTTACAGCTGTTGGACATCGAGTCTAAACTAAAACATGACCCAGTTTCTCTTGGCTCCATTTTATTTTTCTTTTAGTTGTAGACTGAATATTTTATTTTGAAATCCAGATCATCACTGGGCATCAGTGTGAGTGTTTTTTTTTTTTGTCAAAGTGCATGTTGTGCGTGTTCACAATGGATATTTACCATATTTCATCCTGTCTGTTTTCTCCCTGAGTATTTGTCATGTTGGATGTTTCTTTGAATTTCTGAAAGTGTGTATGTGTGTTGTTGACGTGAGGATGTTTGTATGTCCAGTAAATACAGATGGGGGGAGTTTCACCCCAATGGACTTAAGAGTACCAACATCACAGGGAGCTGACCAGCCTGTAATTTTATTTTATTATTTTTTTAATGATCAAGTCACTGTTTTACCTTTTTAGCCATCAGCATGCACACATTAACTTCTGGCRATAAATAAACGAGTTTGACCAGTTATGTATTTTTAAAGGCTGTAGAAGCAGAAGGATTGGATATGTGGGGCTTTAGTTAATTCATGTCATAGACCACGCCCCCTTTTCATCTCAACACACATTTATATTATTATAAATCCTTGACATGGCCATATGTTAATGTTTGTTCCCTGTTTGTGCCAGCTGCTCTAAAGCATTTTTTGTCATTCATTATGAGACCTGTCTTTTAAAGGGCAACTTTTTAATTTTATTTTTATTTTTTGTTAATATAACAAGACAGTTCAGCAGGCTTTTAGTGCTGTCAGAACWGAGCGCTAAAAGAAATACTTCAACATTTTATGTAGGAGTGCCAAGTTTTTATCTGGTTTCCAAAAAATGTCAGCAAGCACCATGGGCCCCACTTCCAAATGTCCAACTTCTAGATAAACTAAAAATGACATTTTTAGTGTTTGGACTGAAATAAAAGACTTGACTTTTCAGTARTGGGTCAGGACAAGAGTAATGTTTCAGCAAGCTAATAAAAAATCCCATAAATGCCTTCAGAACCATAGAATGAATTTCATATTTGAGTGCTTGAGGTCCCATGTGACTTTGTTTTAAATGAGTTTAATTTTTAATTTTTTGTGAGCGTGAACAAAGTCTCGTAGAGCATAAGGGCGGACTATTTMTTCATATAACCAGTTGCATCCAGTTTTGCTGATTCGTAGGAATTTAAGATTAAACAGTTGTGCAAACAGTGCAAATTTCTGCTGTAAAAAACTAATCATTTTCTCCCCGTTGTTGCCGTTTGGTGCTCAGCGTTCTCCTTGCTCAGTGATTCTGGTCAGTTTGTTTTTAAATCAAGCATTTGAAAACGAGTGAAGTGTTTTTTGTAAAAGGGAAAAATGCCTGCTGGTTGCCTCTGTGCATGACCTCTTGGCCAGCGAGTTAGATTACCTGGTCAAATGCTGCTTATTGTCATTTCTGTCATTCAGTAAAAGTTTCTCAGATTTTAATCCTACCTGTGCAAACGACTCAGTAGGTTTAACTTGTTGAAATGATTAAAATCTAATCAAGCAATACACCCAGATTATTTCTTTACTCCAGGTGAACTTGTTTATCTCGCTTCCAGATTTTTGTTCTGTTTTATTTTGTAATTGCATTAACAGTATTACTGTGCTCTCTTCTCATATTCTAGGAAAGCCTGACCTTTACTTAAAAACTAAAAATTGTGCCTTTTTTTATTTTCTTATGCCATTTACATGTGTTAATATTTCCCATGGTTAACACCTGTGCTGGTAATGACCCCTATTATGTACAGAACAAGTAAAATAAACAAATGTCTACTTCTTTAAGCTTGTTTTCTCGCCTGTCTTTGGTGTGCCCTACTTGTCTGCCGTGCAGCGCAGATGGTGTGGGTGTAGACGTGTTCCGCAGCAGCTCGGTGTCACTCGTTAACATTTCTGGAGCACAGGACGGCTGCTCGTGCTCCAATTTTTCGACACTTCCACTTTTGATTCTGCCTGCGCCCAGGAGGAAGGAACCAATTAATGAATTTTAATGAGGCGCTAAGAAAAGAACGTCAGCTGACCCAGAGATGTGGGATGGAAAAGTTTTTCAAGGGCAGCGTTTCTGATGTTCTGTGTTTGTCCAGAGCAGAAATTATTAGTGAGACGGAGCCAAACACTGCAGAGATAGGTTTAAATATAAATTAGGTTATATTGTTGGTTTGAATGACCTGGAGAAATAGTTTTATTTTGACCAAATTGATGAGCAAGGATTGTAAAATTGAAAACTTCCCACATCTAATAGTTTTACATGAAACTACACTGTACAAACTCATTTTACAAAGTAATATTTAAAAGCTGAAAACACGAGTCCTGAGCAGTATGAAAATTCAAAATACAAAAAAATAATCAAAATTAAACTGTATCTCTAGATTGAGGTCATTCAAATGGCAAAATCCAGCAAGTCGTGTTATAAATATTTGAACTGTTAATGCATTTGTTTGCCTTTGTTCTTTAAAGGAGGCATGATGCTTTTAAATCTTTGTTTTTCACATTTAAATCATTCAGTTGGGGTCTAGTGGAACTGCGATGCTTTGATCTGAATTCCTCATTGTAACTCCACAAGCCCCTCTTTTACCCTTTTCCTGAGGTGCGTCTCAGATCAACTCGTTCTGAGGCTGTCTCTTTAAATCCGAACAAGGCGCTTCATCCAAATTCCAACTTTTTATTTACAAAAATAATTAAAAGATGTCAACAAGGGAAGAACTGTCCATCCAGCCTTACATGTTGGAGCCAGAGGAGAACGAAGACGACCAAATTGTAGTTGGTAAGTTCAGGCGAGACAGCTCCGTCACAAATAATTTGATCTAATAGTTCAGAATAAATCACAGAAAATAAACTAAACAGATTTAAAAATGTGACCCAAACAGAAAATAGTCATCCACGCATAAGTTAGAACTTTCTGCTCTCCTAGACTCCTGACTACACAATAACATGTATTTAATGGCTAAAAACTAATTTTGCTTCAAGTCTTTTTACATTTCTTCCAGTGAATATTTTGAAACTGAACCAAACGGCACATAATCTGCCATCCAAGCTGGCTAAAAGGCAGCGCTGGTAATGGACTACAGAAACCCCGTCATCGACCTCTACACACACACACCCAGGCTGTGCCCTCGGGAAAGGTCAAACTCAGCTAAGTTTGATTCATTACAGTCATTTACATTGGAGCCACGGCCTGTTTCAGGAACATATTGATTATCTTTAATGACAAATTAATGTGTACCATGTATGCAAAACACAGCATGAGCTGTGCCGCTTTGTTTTTTCAGGAACCTGTTTCAACGTTAGGATGGGCCAGAGGGTTCAAACTGCTGCACAAGTTAATGGCGTGATTATTATTGTTATATTTAGGAAGGGAAAAACAAAATGTCATGCATTTTATTACTTATCAGTACATTATTTACATACATGTTTGCATTGTTGTGAAAGTTATTTGACTATTCAGATAATTAAACTTGTTTGGATGTCATATAAAATCTATTTTATGCTGCAGTTCTCACAACCATTGTYCCAAACCCAGTCAGTGTTAATTCTGCACGTCCCGATGCTTGCACACCACTATACCTATAGCACATAATGAAAACAGCTATAGCAGTGTTTGTTATAATCAAGTGTTAATTTGACTTATAATATAATAAACTGCTTCTACACATTCCCAGAACCAGAATGAAAAGCAGAGGAGACCGGGCATTTGCTGTCACGGCTCCTAATTAGTGGAACAACTTCAAAATTAGATCTGCCCATAGTCTGGATCACTTCAAATCTCTTCTGAAAAACTAATTTTTATTGTACTCTATGTGTCTTGTCTAATTTATTGATTTTATTTCAATATGTTTTTATCAGTAGTTTTATGATTGCTGTACAGCACTTTGGTGCAGTTGGTTGCTGTTTTTTTTTTAAAGTGCCCTATAAATAAAGTTGACACTGTCTTCAGATTTACTTTAGTATTTACAGTAAGTGATGGATGATAGTTATGACCTGGAGAATACTTATTTTGTCATTTTCCACTTAAAATATTAAGATTTTCAAATTTTGACCATGAAAGGTCTTTATTAATAATAATAATTATTATTGTTATTATTATTATTAATGCATTTTATTTATAGGCACTTTTCAAAACTCCCAGGTCACCTTATCACAATAGAACAATAAACATTAAAAAATAATAAATCGATTAACAAAACAAAAAACAGTGCAAGCTTAAATAATAAAAACACTTATTAAATAAAAGGTCTTTAAAAAAAWTTTTGTATCAAAATGTTACTACGCTACTGAGTTTGAATGTTGTGGATTTGGTTTATGTGCCCTTTTTTATGGTGCAGTTGAGGTATACAGATTAACCTAATTTTAACCCTGTTTTTAGAGCTGTACAATTTAAGCACGCTCGAAAATAAGGACGTTGACATGAGGTGAKTGCACAAAGTGAATTATTGTATTAAAAACATGGATGTTTAGAGGCAGCTTTGTGTAGAAACTCATCAGGGTGACTCAAGCTCACACAAAATCTTTTAATGACTTTCCGGTAATCACTAATTTTACCCGTTTCAAAGTTCAAACTAGCAAATTAGTGAAGTGAAAGCGTCAAACGGTGACTGAAACTTCATCGGTTTGTTTCATCCCATTAATGGCGTTCATGAYCATTTTGCACGGGGATGTAAATCATATCTGCTCTAGAAAATCCTTCAGCCGCACCACCGCCTGCAGCGTTGTGAGTTTTCCATTTCTCGCTCTCGTGAAATATTTACAGTGCAGACGTTCCTGCCTTCTGCTGGGGAAACATGCCAGAGTGTGACAGTAAGTCTATGGGATCKGACACGTTTTCCTTTGGACAACCTCTCATCGCTCCATGCTTCTTGTGCTCTCAGCAGGCTGGTTGCTGTTCTGACAGGTGGACCTTCACCTCATTTTACCGCTCATCCTTAGATCACATTTGGGATCATTATCATTTACTGCCATGAAAAACAGGCAATAATGTAATTGTCTTTGTACTTCTTTGTTAGCATGATTTCTAATGAAGCACTGAATAACTTTTAAAGGGGCAATATTACGTGTTTTTCAGGTATACATTTYAATACTATACCATAATAAAYTATCTGTCACCTTTAGTTGTTATTAAAATGCTGTTTTGTGTTTAAATAGAAAATAAACTTATCTTCTCATCACTTCCTCTTCTAAATGCCTGGAAATTGGCCTCTGTCTCTTTAAGAACCACCTTCCGCTTCTGTCCCGCCCATTTCAGTGCGGGGGGTCACGCGCGCGATGTGATGTAGTTTACTTGGCATCTGAAAATACATMTCCTCAAAGGTATTTTCAATCTGAAAAGAGCTTCACTGAGTGAGCAGTAGTGTTGAGAGCAGCAGACAGTTTAAGTTTCACTTTCAATTTGCTCTGTTACTGCCGAGAGCCTGCAGGAGTCATGGGCGGGGTGTGTGTGTGTGTGTGTGTGGGGGGGTGGGGGTGAGAGACACATCCCAGGGGCATTTCTGGTACCAAAAGATGTTTCTGGTCCCCACCTGTCGTTTTGCTCCTCAGCATGGCTGCCTAAAAACGCTGCAGGATTTTTCAGACATGCATGAATGAATCAAAGTAAGGCTTTGGGCATGTTTTTTTTTTTACGAGAGTATAACATTATAACATGATATAAAACTCAAAAAGGTTGATTTTACATGATATTAACCCCTTTAACAAAAGTTATTTCTTGCTGAGAGAAGAGCATGCTTAAGCTTTGGAGCCAACAAGCTATAATTCTGTATAATGTACTCAAAAATTATAATTTTTAAATGTTTTTGATTATTTCAGGCTGTGTTTGTGATGATATTGAGGACTGCTTGCACACTTCAGGTCAGTAGCAACTCCAGTGGCATGTCCGGAAACGTTTTAATGGGGTGGTCACGTGGGGGGGGGACCAATTTTTTTAGGGGTGCCCATTTCCTGACCCAAATTAAACTACCAGTAAATATAATGAAAGCTCTTGGAAATCGTTGAAAATTTGCAGAATTTTAATGGCAAAAATAACAGATACCACAGGCTAATAAATTTGAAGTATGTTCTTTTGATTTAGACTGTTTCATAGGGCCGAAGTTCACCAGCAGGAGTAGGAGAAAAGCGGGTACTGGCTCCAGTCTGCCGTGCGGCCGTGGCCCTGTTGGTTGTAGTGGTAGGCCCGCTGCTGGGTGTCTCGTTCGGGGGTGGGAAGTGAGGGAGGTGGAGGCTGAATCGTGGTCTGTGCTGGGGTTTTGTCTCCAGAAGGGATTCTGGTGTACTGCACATGCCTAGAAAGAGGAAACCTCGATGTTAAACACCACGCCGTTCATGCAACAACCACTTCCTTAAGCAGGGAGGTGCAGTACACTATTTCCTCATTACTTAAAAGTTCTCCATGTTCTGTTTGATATTCAGACCTGTAAGGTCGGTATGCTGTTGTTGTGGGCACCATCTGCTCCTCGCAGCTGTAGTCATACTCGTGCAGCTCCGGGGGCTCGGGGTGTGGGGTCCCAGAGGAGTCCTGCTTAGGGCACCAGGCTGTTGAGAGGTGACCTCCCTTCAGCGGCTGTGGTGTGGAAGAAGACTGAGAGGTGGAGGGCATCCTCTGCAGGCCTGACCGAGAAATACAGCATCCAGTTCAGAACAAAAACCAATCTACTGTGCTGCAATTATTATTCCATAAGATATTACAATTAATACCTGGAGAACGGCTGCGAGAATCTTTTTCTTTTGGGGGTTGTTTTGTAGGAGGGATTTTCTTTGAATGGCAGCTGAATAAATAGGAGATTTACTATGTTATTTTAAAGTTGACACTCATTTGGAATTTTAACAATTGCTTAAAATACCACAAAAAGCAACAGATATTTAAATATATATGTCTATGGTGAAATGCAGGTACAGTATAAGCTGGCTCTCTATTTAGCAGGAAATTAGACTGAAGTGTCCTTTTAATTTAAAGCTCTGTGTTATAATCAAACCTTAAAGTGCCTGCGACATCAAATTTTTGTAATAAATATGAGTGTGTTTTTGGAAAGAGAACATTGATAACATATTTCAAAAACAAATTTCACGCCATTGAGATGAACAATTGTTGAGATACTTGCATGTGAAGAAACAGGAAGTGATGTCAAAGGGGACTGTGTGCAGGTGAACAGAGCGATGCTACAGAAATTAGAGACAAATCGAATGTTTCTTTGGATTATTTTGAGTCTATCAGAGTTGAAGAAGAGTTTAAATAAGATTGTTTCAATAAACAAAGACTAGAGAGTTTCTTTTCTTAAAGAGTTCCCCTTTGATGTCACTTCCTGTTTCAATTTGCCGAGCCAAAGTCAAGAGAAAATATGCCAATTATGAGACAAAATGGGTAAAATAATGTGTATGATGCTATTTTTTTAATATAAAGATGTTTTCTTTGACTTTTTGTATTTGAAGGAAAAGCGTGTCACAGGCCCTTGTAATGTGGAAGCAAAAAAACCTACATTTGACTTTGGGAACTGGCGTCTCCTTTTCGAAATCTTTTGGCAAATGAATTGTTGTCAATCTTCAGTTTGGTAATCTAAAAGATGAAAATAAATGTATTACTTGAAGAGAATATAAATTTGTGTTTGCTTTATTCTTGAAAAAAAATTTTTTTTGTCACCTTTGGATTTTGGTAAGCAGTGACAGCTGTAAAAACTGTTTCTGGGAAGGAGAAGGTCTGAAAGTTGCCCCTGCAGAGGCTGTATGGATTGTCAGCCTGAACCACATGAAAACGTGGGTAGTAGCGATGCATGGAGTGAAGGATGATCTGATAAGAGAAAAGAAAGTACTTGGAAAAAAAATAACCAAGCAAAAGTAAAATTACATGAACAAAAGATGACTTTGGTAAAAATAAATTTCACTGATGTGAAAACTACTCAAGTAAAAGTCATAAAACTGTTCACAAAAACCGGGAAAGTAAAAGTACTTTTACACACTCTAAGAAATAAACTGTTTAATTTACTGAACCAACTGGTTCCACTAAGCCAGGTTGAGTAAACTGAGGAATAWATGTATATTCTTTGCTCAATTTACTCAACTAGGCTTAGAGCAGCCAGCTGACATGACTTTGTTGAGTAAATTCAACACTTCATTTTTAGAGTGCAGAAACATTTCATGATGAGTTCAAATTTATTTAATTTAGTAACTAGGTGTTACATTTCAAAGTAAAGAAGTAAAAGTATCATTTTTAGCTTTAAAATGTAACAAAATAAAAGTAAAAGTAGCTATTTGAAAAAATTGGTAAAATGACAAATCCTCAAAAAAACGACTTAAGTCTTAGTTACTATAAACCTCTGGAAAAGAGCAGAAGTAAGCAGAGCATATCCAACTTTTCATGGTTTAGTTGTAAATAAAGGGGTTTTACGTGGCCATGCTGGTCCAGCATGTTGTTGGTGAGCTTCATCTTCAGGAAGGACAACGACTGCTTCATCCAGTGACTTCCAGCAGCGGGGGAGCTGGGGTGTATGTACGTCCGACATGGGGGCTGGGGCTCGGCCTTTCCTGTGACCTCCCACTGCTTCTTCTTCCACTACAGAGGGATAAAAGAGGGGTCAACGCCGCATTAACACGTGTGAGACTTCAGGATATGTGGGATTCATCCGAATCCACCAAGAAGCATGACATGCTTCTTGCCTTGGTTCGTGCCTCATTGTTTCAAGTGTGCTGAAAGCAATAACTGACCAAACAGGCCAGAGAAAATAATGAGAGCTGCTGAATAAACGCGGAGCAGGCCGCTCCTTGTTCGTTGACTGTGAATGAGGAGGAATGCTAATTGATTGGGCTTCCAGCCGGGAGTGCACAAACAGGAAGCAGCGAAAGGCTTTGATATGCAGCAGTGATCGGGGCTCAGCCAGACTGGGCTGCACCGTGTCTGGCTGCAGACCTCTAACCCTCATCGTACCTTGTATTTGAAGGTGTCTGCAGGAACGATGTCCACCATGACCACATAGTTTGCAGAAGGCTGGAGTCCAGATAGACTTACGCAGCAGTGGGGAAACATTCTCCTAAGACAAACGCACATCASGAGCAACATGGTAAAATATATTTAAAATATCTGCGATAGAAGCTAGAAATAATTCCTGTAGGAGTTTGTTACCTTCCATGCTTGGTTATAATCATCTCTGTCCCAGTTCTGTGGAAAGCCTTCCAGAGTTCTGCGTTTTCTAGAGTCATCCTGATGAGGCCTTGCTGGTAGCAGTGAGGTGCTGACGGGGACCGGGGTCTACTTGGATTCATTCTGCTTTCTGCTTAAAAATTGATCAAACAGATTTTTTTTTTTTTTTACAAAATATGCACACATGAACTGCTTTTTAGTTCAATGTAACCCAAATGATCGACTTAACGCAGGATGAAAAAAACCTGCACTTTTGAATGGTTGCAGAACTTTTTACTGTCTCTAATAAGTTTAGTTTAGACCAAAGAGATAAAACTTCACATTTATCTCAGTAGTTTGTGCATCCATTAACAGCCTTTTTAACATGAAARGTAACCAAAACAAACTAAGTTAACATTATTTAAACGCAAGTAGTGAAGAAATTTAGCTATTTTTAAAACAATAACATTCATCTTACCTGAGATGCTGACTCCAGCCAACACCACATGGAAAGAAACAACTGCTTTGCATGAGAGTTTTCACAGGTTCCTGTCCAGGAATGGCCTGAGGCGTGAAGCTCATTGGTCATTGAATAAAGGGGTGTGGTCTAAACAACCCAATGAGCTTTGGCCAGAAAGGACACAGGTGAGAGGTTGAGTGTTTTTTGTTTCTTCGAAATCTGCTAAATCTGTTACAGTGATAAGATTTTTAATGCATTTTTATCAATAATCTTAAAAACTGCTGTTTGTTATTACAGTTTGCTTCAATAGAAGAAAACATGTCTTTATGCATTAGGTTCTAAAAACTATTGTATGTTCTATTTTTTTCCACTGAAAAGCAAAAAATATCAACATTTTTTGGATTTTCATCATGATWATAACTGTTCCTTTTATTAGCCACACCTGAAGACTGTGGACATGTATTGATGCGTAAACTGTTGCTTCTTTTTGGCCCTGCAGCCCAAACAGCAGCCAAGTGATTTGAATTTAAAACAGTCTGGGGGGGACAAACAAGCCTCTTCCCTGCAGCTCTGAATGCGTATTGAGTATAAAATGGAAGATTACAGAGGGTCTGGCTTTGACTTTGGCCAACTCTCCTAATCCATCTAAATGGTCTCAACACCCCCGTCCCTGTGTCAGGATGTCTTTTAAATCCCAGAGGGCTTTCCAATGGTTCATTTACCATTAAAGTATGATAGAAGAACAATGTTCATAATCTTAAAAAATACTGGATTATTCACAGAAACTCATTCTGGTTAATTCAATGACATTTTTCCTGCAWGAGTTTAACTCCAGCTCCTTGTGAAAATTGACCACTGTGTGATTTCTGAATGAGAGTGCTTGATGGCAGTGTGAGGTGAGGTTGTCTGTCTAACACAGGGGTCCCCAAACTTTTTCCTGTAAGGGCCACATAACTTTTCCCTTCTCTGGTGGGGGGCCGGAGTCAGTTTGTAACAGAAAAAGTGTGACTATTGCAGGAGTGCCTYAATGTAAAAATTTATTGTTTTCCAGAAAGCACAATCAAATAACCCTCTCTGGGTTCTTCACAGTWTGTATTCTGCTGAGCTAACAGTCCACTTTTAGCTTTGAGAGTTTGTTTGCTCACATTTGGCCCTGCAAGCTATCATACTTGTCTTTGTGACGGGATTCATAGTGTCGCTGCAGATTGTACTCTTTGAATACCGCCACCGCCTCTTTACAGATGGACAAAAAAAATAATCGTTTGTCCACTGCAGCTTAAATGCCCTGCATTCTGAATCAATTTTTCTCTCACCGAATCTTTTTGCCATTATTCCGTTCTCTCTTTGAGAGGGGCGGGTTTAGGATTTTTTTCTGGGGGTTGCCAGATAGGGGCACAGACTGCAGAAGGGTGGAACAGAATGTCACGTTAAATGTGTCTATGTATGAAATAGTTACTAACTAATAATATTTAATAGTGAAATAGTTCATAACTTAGGAACATTTTATTGCAAAAGTCCAACTTAACAATCAATTATAAATACACATATATGAAAAAAAAACTAAATGCTTTCTGGTATTGTTCTGGGGGCCAGACCAAATGGGGAGGCGGGCCGTATCCGGCCCGCGGGCCGTAGTTTGGGGACCACTGGTCTAATAGATGAGAGGAGCTTTCAGCTGGATAATGAGCCTAACCACAACATTAAACCCACCGTGGACTGACTCAGAAGGTTCAAAAGGCCAAGCGAAGCCTCGACTTTTAGTTATTAAATACACACATATATACACACTGTCACCAAACTATGTAGAAATTAGGGAAGCAGACACATTTAAAAAAAAAATCCAGAGTAAAAGTTGAGCTAAAAACTAACAAAACACCAAAGAATTTATTTCAGTAGAGATACAAAATATAGCTCAGTATTGGGGGTGCAACAATACATGTATCTGTATCAAACCGTTCAATACAAGCTCAGTACACACTGTGTCTGAAACAATACATACAGGATACAGTATTTACAATTTATTTGATCAGCTTGTCTCCTGAAGATGCTCTGTGTTGAAGGCTCAGTGGATCTGTGTTCAACTACTCCAACTATAGGCTGCATTGTCGAGCACAGATTCACTGAGAAACTTGCTGTTTCAGCAACATTTAATGGAAAAACAGTAGTTTTGAGTTTTAAACAAATTTTCATAATTAATTTAAATAAATTACAAAATAAGAAGAGCATAAAATGTATTTTTTTCTTTGTATCAGAACAATATAGAACCGTGAGATTGAAGTATCGAACCAAATCGTGAATTTTCTATCGTTGTACCCCTACTCAGGATACATTTTGGGTATTTACCACATGCATACCATTCACATACTTGGTACTGCAGGAATGCATGCTGTAAGTAGCCTGTAAGTACTAGGTACAGACCGTGCAAGAACCTGTAAGAACCCGATACTTGCTTGGTAGGGCCTATGTACATTTCTAGTATGTAATGGTATGTACCAGGTGTTTACAGCAGGGGTTCCCAAACTTTTTTTCTTCTGACCCACAAAATATCCATGGCAAAAACTTGTGACCCCAAATATTATTGCTCTGAGTACACAAACTTTGTTAATAACCCTAAAAACACAGGCCTTTTGACAATCTAAACAGCTTGTACACAAATATAAATACTTGTTTATACTTTTTTGTGTTTTTGTAATAGTTATAGGGAAAATATTACATCAGCAATTATTTTATTACCCTTTAAATTGATTTCTGGAGATTATCCAAGGTGCTTCATGACCCATAATTGGGTCCCAAGCCCAACTTTGGGAACCAAAGTGTAGTGATTCCCAAACTTTTCAGCTTTTGACCCACAAAATAACAGTAGCAGAGACCTGTGCCCCCAACTATTTTTGGATGATAAACATTTGTATCAGGTCAACWAAACATGGGCATAGTAACAATATTTTTATACTACATTTATCCATTTTAAATATACTAACCTCACTCCTTTGTAACAACTAAGGCAAAAATGTAACTAATTTAGAAAATCTTTTCGGGACCCCACTTTGGGTCCCGACCCCAACTTTGGGAAACACTGGTTTACAGAGTCTACTTGGTGCTTTGCAGGACCACAACTTGTACATACCTGTTGCAAACTTCTAACTTATCTGGTACAGAGTAAGTACCATATAATTACTGAGTAAGAACMTGGTACTTAACAGTTATGTGCCTACTTGGTACTTAAGTAGGTACCTATGTGCACACATTTAGACTCAAAAGTTGGTAATGTTACATTTAAGCAGAAATCACTAGTAAAAATGTGTTACCATTTGTAACATACCAGGTACAGAATACTAAACACCCTGCAAGTATTTGGTAGCTGCATATAAAGTAACCAGCTTTGTACCCAGTATGTTGTAACATGTATTGCTGCCAGCTGTTTAGTAATACTGCCAACTGTATGTGTGAGTTCATGTGTGCATTAACTTTTCAATAAAATAATGATGAACATTGTGAACATACTGTGACACGGTACAGTAATATCACGTTACCTGTGTGTGAAACAACATTCCTGAGATTGTAGAGCTTCTCTGAAAGGCCRAACTTCTGGAGTTTTCTGTTCCATCAAAAGACAAGTCGAAACATTTCTCCTCTGCTTAAATCAAACTGAGGCTTGAGGATGGAATTTGCTCTGCTCTTGCCTGTGGCATGCGTCACCTCTGCAACTATGCAACCCACATCTGCCTCTGCTAATAATCAGGCCGAGCAGCACTAATGTGGGTAAAACATTGCGGCTGATTTTGCATTCCGGTCTGAGCAAAAACATCAGAATGTGATGCAATGTTTCGCAGAGAGCACAAGAACTTAGAGAACTGTGGATGTAAAGGTGAAAAAAAAAAGTTTGTAAGATGCTGAATAATGTTTGTTCTGCTCGTTGAACTGCATCACTTCGACTGCGGCAAAAATATCTTCGAACACAGGAAGCGCTGTGGTTTAAACATGTTGGGCTGCAGCTGGGAGGTGCAGAGCACGACCCGTGTGTGTGTYTGTGTGTGCTGGAGGCTCAGATGTGGCCGAGCGTTCGGTTCACCACTTGGATGCAGRTTAAACACAASTGGGTGGGAAAGCTCTGTCATTGTGAAGGTGTTCCCAAAGAAAGGAATTTCATTTCCAGAGAAAATAATGTCTTATTTTTATTTTATTTATTTATTTATTTATTTTTTATCTGTGCCAGCAGGAAAAAAAGTGAATTTCTAAAATAGCCACAGAAATCTGAAAACAGATCTGATGATCAATACACATGGAAATAGTGGATCTGAGAAGGAAAAGAAGATTCTGTTTTTACAATATGTGTTTCAGTCTGTACACTAATGAGAGATATTTATAATGTTATAATGTTATAATGTTTAACACTGGCCATAAAGTTCTTTAAGAAGAAAAATAAATGTTCAGAAACTCCAGTAAAGTTACAGTTTGTCAGTAGCGCCACCTACTGGACCACTTTGTAAAGTAACCTATTATTGATGACCAAAGGATTTTTTTTGTTGTTTATTTTTGAGTTTTTTTTTTTGGATTTTATTTAGTGTTTGTTTCCTTGTGTTTTCCATTGATTCTTCCTTGTGTTCTGTTCAGTTCCTCGGGACCTGTCCACTGTTCCCCTCAGTCGCAGCTGCAGCCACTCTTCTCATCAGCTCCGCGTCTTCATCATCTCTCAGCCTCATCACACTCCAGTCTCTTGTTTTCTGTGCTTATGTCATGTTTGGGTTGCTCTCGTGTTTGCATTTTATTTTGGATAGAAAAGGATTAAGTGGACGACGTTAAAAAAGTAATTACAGCTGGATTAAACGGGAATCTTGAAAAACAAGAGAGGATTAAGAGGAGGAAGGATGACCGAATGAAACTTGCTGAGGCTGAAGAAGACAGCTGAGGATGAAAAATTTAAAAACACTGTAAAGAAACTTRTGAATAATTCACAAAGACAGCTCATGGAATAAAAACACCCCAGAAGTGTAATTAGGGTTTAAAACTTCCACAAAAAGATCTATG